ATAATAATTGATAGTAATTTATATTTCGAAGTATGATCCTCACGAAGAAATGTGTATAAATGACTAAACATTAAAACTTATTTGAGATACTAAACGATGAGTGAAAATATTTGAGAAAATAATTAGCTTTTCATATAGATATCCAGTAATCCAAGAAATTATTAAACATAATTTCACTGTATAATCGTAAATTAATTATATTTTTAGATTAAAATATTGTGTATGGACATTTCTCTTATACATAATTTTTCTAAATAAGAAAAAGATTGATTCACAATATTTTTAATAAAATATTCCATCTGAATGAATATTTCAAAAAGTTATTTTTTCTAAATAATGTTAAATTGAAGGAGTTACAATAGTAAGTATAATTAACATAAACTGTTGGACTTGTTTTATTTTTTAATAATACATATATATGTACATAGGATATTTAATCAGTCACATTTTCTTTTCTTCACACTCTTTCTTTCTTAACGTCTTTAAATTAGAAATATCTAAACAATAGTATTTTATTCGTACAAAAATAAAATAATGTAGACTTTTATATTATAAATTTTCAATAATAAATTAAGTATTTAGATTAATTTTATCATACTTTGTATAAAACTGTTCCAATCGATTCAACCATTCTTCCCAAGCTATTTGTAAAGCATCATCCTTCAATTCATGGATAGTTGCAATTTCACCTTTTGTATAAGCAATAATAATCAAACCTCTATTTATCTGTTGGCGCAATTATATCTTACTTATATAAAGGTAATTAAATATTTTTCAACATTACTTCTAAAGAATAATAACCTTAAATGAGTATTTGTTGAAAGCATTTATAGCTCCAACATAGGCAGCAATTTCTATTGGGGTATCAAAACTTGCTGCAAGTGATGTTTTTCGATGTGCTGATTTCTTCCAACCAATTACATACGTGTGATCCCTAAATAATTACAGAAGTGTACAATACTATAATGGTCATCATATAATAATTTTTATTTCTCTATTATAACACAGCCAATCTCTGTTATACCTATAAGAAGCAATACAGTTTATAATGCCTTTATATTGCAATGTTGGATGTGTCACATCTATTTCAATCGCATGAATATTTTGTATATCACATAATACTGGGTACACACTCAAATATGCTGATTTGACAGAAGGTGGAATTTCAATTTCTTTACATGATAACACATTTTGCATACAAGAATGAAATAATTTATTATCGTTTAATATATCTAAAAATGCACAATCATTATTATCTATTTTTATTTCTAACGTATAAATATTATACCTTTACAATACGTCTTAAAATATTCTTCTCCATATGTATCAATCATATTTTTCTTCCATGTATCTAAAGCAGTTTTTACTTTAGCAGGCATGGTTTCATTGAGAATGTACGTTACATTTGGAATTTTAAAATTTTCACTACTTTCTAAACATTGCATCTCATAATTTTCTGTTGTTTCATCACCAAAAATAGGATATGATTTTATGTTTCTTGTTACTCTAATCTTATTTGCAACTTCTAATTCACTTACAGTTTCTTTATTTTGGGTTTGTTTATGCACATTATCAATATTATTATTAAATACAGATGCTTGGTTTATCTCTGTCTCAAAATCTGTAGCATTCTGTAGTTTAGAAATCTCCTGTGTTCCTACCGTTCCATTATTCACCTTTGGATTATTTGTGTATTCTTTCAAAACTCTGTTTTCCTTAATATTTAATTTTAAAAGTGCTGTACCTGCACTTTTTATAATCTTTAATCGAAACATAGTCATGAAATTATAAGGCAGAGATCAAAATAAATATTATTCTACCGCGTAAGTAAGAAATATATAATCTTATAATCCAATTACATTATTAAAAAACACTTTATACACTATCACTATCATTTTTTTCTGACATTTATCAATTTAACCAATTTTATAACCAATAAGTGATCAATGATCAGCATAACATTCTAGTACTGTTTCTATTGACTTAGAGTGCCATCTATTCATCATTGCTGTATTTATCTAGTGGATATTCTCTTCTGTCGATAACGAAGTTTTTAGTAGAAATTTATTATTAATAAAAATATATTTTATCTTTTATATTTTCAAAGTTTTCTTATAAATATTTTCCTGATATCAACGAAGATACATTCATCTCATAATAATTTACAAACAATATAACATAAAACAGGTTGATTGTGGAAACATTGAATCATTGAATCACTTTCACATTTCTTATCGCGATTATTACATAAAATATATCATTTAAATCTGTAATCAAATAAAGTTAAATGAAATTTACTAAAAATATATACACTTATAAATTTATTAGAATCTGGATACTATAATTTTAAATTATTTTCGGATGGACGATCCATGTACTTTAGGAAGAAGAACGATCGCTGAACTCCAATGGCCACACATCACCACGGCCAATGAACGTAAAACGTGGCCGTAATTTATCAGGCTTTACACGGTTCGGTTCGTTTTAGCTCACGGTTGCAATTTCGGAGTTAGCCGCTTATCAAGTTACCGGGTATCAATCTAATGATGTGGAGTGCAAACCCTCTTCATTGATCTTGCACAATAACTTGGTTCACGATCTCTGATACCTTTCGAAACTGACCGTTTAATATCTACTCGTTTAAATCTATAAGAAATTTGTTCAACTTTTCTTGATTACGTGATCGTAATGTTGTAATTACTTTTACAAGGTGGAAAAAATGCCGACTAAATTTACTTACCTTCTTCAGATTCTTATCGAGCGCTAATCTTGAATCATATTAAAATCGGTGATATGTATCAGACCACACTATTAATCAATCAAAAATAGTAAAAATACATATATAATGAAAATACAAATTACACGTAACCGGGCACAGGGAGGAAGTGCGAGCATAGAATGCTAACATAAAAATTTGCGCCCGCATTTTTACGTAACAATGCAATCGAAAACCGTCCTCTTAACACGTTGTAACAGTGAAAGTTAAACAAGATGAAATTCGAGATGCACGGAAAATATAAGCTGACCTGTGATTAACGCATCTCGTTATGTCAATTGCGTCGTATGAAGAAAAATCATCGTATTGTATCAAAGAAGTATTCATCCACTTTAAAAAAGCATCCTATACGATTCTTAAGTGATGCTTTCCGCTACAACAGACGAGCACGAGAAATCAGATTTTTGTTTTTCACAAGAGATCAAATTGCCTGACACTCCTCATAATTTGAAAAATATTACAATATCGAAGATAAATAGCAAGTGGTTTTAAACAAAAGTTGACTTAAAAAAAAAAAAAAATAAAATAAAATAATCGATCTAATGCTTGGCGATCGAATTTGTCGGTAACGATTCGCGCGATCAAAGCGATTTCAAAACCAGGAAGAGTACAACAAATTTATGCCTTTCGTTGAATAGTTTTAAATTTAATTATGATATCTATTGCTAATCTTCACAATTGATCTATTTTTTCCAACTGACTTGGAAAGACGGCACCGTCCAATAACATCGCAATAGTCTCGCATTGAACACTTTTCGTGACAAGACAGCAGCAGTGAAATAACTCGTTAGAAAGGTGCGTAAATATACGTACACACAAGGGTGATTAAACTTTGCTGGGATGCGATACCACAAGAAAAAGACTCCAGTAGTATAAAAGGGTCTGTATTCTGTCTAGACTGCATCAGTTTCAATTGCGAATCGCCCATTGCTGCACATGATATCAGCAACTATCAACATGAAATTCTTCGTAAGTAATTCGTCCCCTTGAAATTATAATAATTGTTCTATTTATTTATAATAACATTAAATCTCTACTTGATTTTAATTAGTATTTGTGTATCAGTACAATCTTAACTAGGATCTAATACTTTGTATGAATATCTTGAATGTAAATAAAATATTTAATTAATTAAAATAAGAATGAGGAAAAACTTATCTCTTTTTCTATAAAAGATGTTTAGTGTATTTATTACATTTCTATTTATTATACTATGTATGCAATATATACGTATATTTAAGGCGTTATTATTTTATTTTCAGGTTGTTCTTATTATCATCGCTTTCATATCTCCCTTATATGCCCAGTCTGAAGAAAAAGATATCGAGAAGAGAGGCATTTTTGGCTTGGGAAGTCTGGGAAGTGCTTATGGTAACTAACTATTAATCTCATTTTACATAACTATTTTTGAAAATGCTGTTATACACCATTATAACATGGATTAAAATTTTATTTTTTTAATTACAGGACTTAGCAGTATATCGTACAGAGTTCCAGTAGTCACCAAAACTATCGACACTTTACCTTTTAGCGGTGGATATGGAGGATATGGTCTTGGAGGTTATGGATATGGCCTTGGAAATTATGGACATGGTCTTGGAGGATATGGAGGATACGGAAAATATTCTTTTGGATGGTGAAAAAGAAACAATATTATATAACTACACTTTAACAATATAGTTTTACTTTGTGGCAATAAATTGTACTTTTTTACGTATTTAATAACAAAAGGAGTTTTCATATTGATATTCAAAATAAATTTTTAATATCTTTTTAACTAGTGTTATTATTATTATTTCCCCATTGAAAATAGTTAATTGTTAAATAAAAATTTCAAATATAAATCTTAATTTATAGATTAATTCTAATAACTTGAAGTTGAAATTATTTTTAATCATTTTTCATAAATAATCAACGGGTTCGTGTCTAAGATAAGGATAATATAGAAATGCATTTTATCTATCTTCATTTTGGCGACGTAGTGAAGTCCGATATTTTGTCGCCAGACGAAGTTGTGAAAGTCTAGAGTTGCAGTTTTGACATTTATTTAGTTATCAATTAAAAATTAAAACAACATCATGAACTTTTTAGTAAGAAACGTAGTGAGCGCTAGATCTTATTTTACAAGATGCAGTGAAGGTACAGCTAGTGCATCGTTATCACCTAACCTCTAACTTAACCTATCCAAATAGAAAAATCTTATAAAATTAATTATAAAATTAATTTTATGTGCAATTTCAATAAGAGATATATTTGTTTTATAGCAAGCAAATCGCAGTTAACTAGATTATGTGCAAATCCTGGAACTCAAGGTATTTCTTGCATTCAACAAACATCTAAATATAATTACAAGATTATGATTGAAAAAAATTCATTTAAAAATTACTCTTCTTATTTTTAAACAGGAAATGTGCTAAGTACTACTAACTCATATATTGGAAATCTTATACAGGGTAAGTTGCTCAAAGCTAATATTAAAAGTATACTATATCAATGGCTAAGATAACAATTAGTATTTCAAGTATTTTAATTACAATTTTCCTTCTCAAATATTAAATTACTATTAACAACTATTAAAGAAAGGTAGAAATAAAACTCCAAAGATTACAAATGGTGTTCTCCAAAATTTAAAAAAAAAAAAAAAACAGTTGGTTTAATGTCTAAAAATTGTTGAGAATGAGGTTTTTCAGAACAAGAGAAACGAGCCGTAGTTGTAAACCAGAACCAGTACCTAGTTTACGTGAAATCACGTGAAGTTTCATCGGTATTGTTTGCGGTTCCCATAAGTGTAACAAGACCAGACAACTCCATAGGAATTCGAGTGATGTCTCGAATTTCCGTAAGCCTTTCCACCAGATCGGTATCTCCGCTTTCTCGACGGAGTAAATATAGGAAAAGGGGTGGTCGAACTAAAAAGGGACCATGATTTTCCTCTCTTATTCTTTGCCCGCGAAAATGCGCGTGGCTTGCAAAAGCGCACGCAGCGCTTTACCTCTTTGATCCCCGAGACTAGAAAGAAAAAGACATCTCAAAATGCAAAAAGGGATCCGGCTACTCTGGGAAGAAAGGACACGAATGAGGGAAAGCAGGCTTTCCCTCAGCCAACAGCGAAAATCACTGGGAATCGAAGGGGTGATGTGTCCATTTGTGGTTGACCAGTTGTCAAAAGTGATTCTGTGAAGGGTGCACAGCCTGCAAGAAAGATTGTCATTCGCATTTTTCCAATTCGTGGGTTATTCTCGATCTTGACGATAAAAAATGCATCATTGCACATGCTATTATTTATTTATTTATTTGTCTATTAATTTGCAGGCAATATATATCACGAACATAAAAGAAAAAGTTGCGAATGTAGGGATCAGTAGACAAAAGGAAAAAGAAAAATATTAAACAAAAATGTAGTACTGTTTAAATGTTATATGAGATGTTGGACAGCTTACCTAAATTATGTTGTTTGTTGCTGTTAAATGCGTAAGAAACGAAACAACAATATAAAAAAATATATTGCTCTCCTTGATTCTGCTCTCTTATATGATAATTCGCTTCTTTTACAAAAAGAGCTTAAATCGTTTCACTGGCTTCCAATCAGCCCAAGACCTTTTAATCAGCTTCTTAATTATGTAAAATATTGATTCCATTCATCGGCAGATAAGCCGCGGATTTGGCGAGTGGCCTCACAGTACCTTGGCATCGTGTACGCGACAAAAGTGTAACCACAACATCTTACGAATTTTCGCAATGTAATCTTGCGTATTCATCTTCGAGGAAAGGGGTTGCCTTCCATGCATAATAGTTTCTGCTGGTCTCTTGCCTTAGTTAAGTCTAAGTTAGGTCGGATTAGCAGTGGCAGGCTTGGACATCTGTCGTATTGACGAACCAGTGGTCAGCTAGATCTCGAAATGGACAACAATGGTACAGTCTCGACCAACAGGCCCTGGAAAATCGTAGACTCCTATGAACAACCAAGAGAATATCATGAAATTGTCATGTCACCCCCGACGTTTCACTTCGACTATGAATCTCTTCGAATACATCATCGCTTCGGAAGAATTTCTTTCATATGACCGACGACAATTGATTGTGCATGATAATTCGAGAATAGTCGGAAACCTTTTGATGGTGGAAATCATCGTTGAACAACTCTGATAAAATTTTCAATCAATGTACTCCTCTAAAAATTCTGCAAACGATACTGATTTATTTATAATGATAATAATCTGCTATTAACTTTGAATGTATTCCTGACATAAGTCCGATAAATTGCATTAATCGAGTGCGTCTATGACCATTGCGATTGTAATTCCATTTCCATACATGTACAGTATTAGGTATATTATAACCAATTGATTTTACTTTATTTCTCCCTTTAAATAACGATCGTTAACTCTCTTGTTAGCTTTGAAGAACGATCCACATTTAGAAATAAAAGGCTCGAGAAATTATCCCTTGAATAATTCTATATTAATTATCCCTCGAATAATTTTGTTTCTTTGCCATTTGAATGTCGAAATATTAATTCCTTTTCTCGACATTGACTACTCCTAATTAAATAATTTAATTATTATGTTTTTAAATAATCTTTATAATTTTGCAAAACGGTAAATTGCTGTTCGCTTTCAGGTTTCATATGATCTGATGGATCATGAGCTTTTTATGCAAGATGCGCGGACTGTACCTCGTAACAATGTTACTTAATAAGCTTACACGCTCGAGCGAAAAAGGACTAGTCTTGGACGAGCGGCTTGCAGATGTCAAGCGTCCGTCATATTTGATATTCCATGGGACCTGGAAACCCTCTTTTCCTTCAGTTCGTAAGATTATTTGCGAAAGAGTTTTCAGTTTCTTGGTACCGTTACCGCACACTGGGTCTCCTATTTTTCCTGGCATCGTTCACAATAGTCTTGACTAGGATATCGTCATCCTTGGGGACCATTTCCCTATCGTATTTCTTAGCCATATTTTACTCATCTTTTTTTTTTTTTTTT